ACCTGATGGTAAGTGACTACCGCCGCCCATGAACAACTGCAACACCAGGGAGGGAATTGCAGATGCGTTGCCGGCCTTTTTAAAAGGAGTACGCTATTTTGTTGAAGGTCCCTAAGTCGTATCGGTCCGGAAAAATCGCTGATGGTAATCGATTCCACAAGGAAGTCGTGCGAGGAAGAAAACATCTTCTAAATCGCACAGTAGTGGACCGCCAATCATCCAGATAGTGTGGATAGTATCGGGAGTTCTGCCACGAAGTGCGTTTTTGAAATTTGGCGGCTGGGATTAATCTGAACAAATCCTCAGAGCACTCCCCATGGTAGATGCGAAAGAAAATGCAAAGGGATGCAACATCTTTTTGCAGTGTCAATGAATCGAGCCGATCGGAAAGGGCTTGGTCGTCGACGATTCGAGCCGCTCTGCGCTGGATGCGGTCAAGTAGAAGGAGCTGGCACTGGGGAGCCCCTGCCCAGAGATGGGAACAGTATTCCATCTGAGGCCGAACCTGCGCCTTATAAAGTTGCAGGCGGTGTGCCGGCATGAAATACGGTCCCGCTCTGCTGAGCACGCCAAGCTTTTTAGAGGCCAATTTGGCCTTCTCTTCCTAGTGACCACGAAACTGCACGTCACTCGATATGCGCTGTCATCCGCATAGCAATGAATGTTACCAGTTAGCAACATATCATTGATATGCAGAAGAAACAGCGTTGGTGATAGCACACAGCCTTGTGGAACACCAGCGTTAATAGGCTTGTAGTCAGAGCATGCACCGTCTACAACGATCTTGATACTCTGATATGCAAGGAAGTTGGTGATACAATTGCACAATTTCTCGGGAAGCCCATAGGCAGGGAGCTTCAGAAGAAGCGCTTTGTGCCAAACCCGAGGCCTTCGCAATGTCCAGACTAACGGCCAACGCCTCCCCCTTGGACTCTACTGCCTCCGCCCATCTATGGGTCATGTAGACCAGAAAATCACCAGCTGATCGACCCCGACGAAAACCGTATTGGCGGTCACTAATCAGCTGGTGATCCTCAAGGTACCGAATGAGCTGGCAGTTAATAATGGATTCCATGGTTTTTGGAGAACAAGGAGGTGATCGCGATAGGCCTATAGTTGGATGGGTCTGAGCGGTCGCCTTTTTTAGGGATCGGGTGGACAAAAGCTGTCTTCCATGAATTCGGGACTACGCCTTGGGAGTAGGAGTACCGGAAAAGACGCGTTAGGACCGGTGCCAACTCTGGAGCACACGTCCTCAGCATAATTGGGGGGATTCCGTCAGGCCCACTCGACTTCTGGATGTCCAGGGAGAGGAGTGCTTTGCGAACCGAGCGCTGTGAGAACAACACATCCAGCATGGAGCATTCACACCGCGGGATGGTCGGCGGTGTTTTCCCCTCGTCATCAAGAGTCGAGTTGGACGCAAAAAGGGAGCCTAAAAGGTCGGCTTTGTCTTTTGTGGCTTGGGCCAGTGAGTCGTCCTCCCTGTGCAGATATGGTAGTGATGGCTTACAGAAATTCCCTTGGACAGCCTTGGCGAGAGACTAGAATGCACGGGTTCCCGAAGGAAGGCGAACTAGTTTCTCGCCAATTCTGCCTATATGCTCTTACTTTGCCTTGGCAATAACTCTTTTGAAGGACCTGGAGGCGAAGTATACTTCTTTTTAAGCGTGCTGGTGTTTACATCCCGAGTCGCCGAAGCCGCAGCCCAGGCTTGAAAACACTCCTGCTTACTGCGTAATGCAGTCTTACAGGAGCGACCAAACCAAGGCTGAGATCTCCGGCGAGAAGCAAACCCACCCCCATAGGTAGGATGCAAAGAAAGACCGCATTCCGTCTCAATCCGCCGCACTGTAATGCCAAACACGGCGGCAACCTACAGAACGCAACCACGAAAGGAGCTTGAGTGGCACCATACTCCGGATCAGACAATAGTCCAAAGAGCCGAGAAGGCCATCGATGGAAACCTGATATCCGTCTGGATGAGAGTTCAGCAGAAGGACCAACAGGGAAGGTGTATAATCCTCCACATATGGAATCCGCGTAGACGAAGTAACCAGTTGTGTCAGACCATATGCCAAGGCAAAGTTATAAACAGATCTCCCCGCATGATCGGTTAAACGTGAACCGAGGCATTCGGCATGGTGGACGTTAAAATTGCCAAGGATCACGATCTCTGCGGATGGGACCTGTTGTAGCAAGGAATCTGTAGTCATTTGGACGTGGTCGATGAGTCGGTCTGTTTCGGCATTACCGCTACGGGACCTATAGAGGCACCCGTAGACGCGCGGATGGTCGTCGCTGTCTACGCGTAGCCAAAGGATGGACAGATCCGAACCTTCAAGACTGCCGAGGCGTCGAGAACAGATGTCCTGTCTGAAATACACGCAAACTAAAGCCCGAGGCACAAAGGAGTGCTCCAATTTGTACCCCGGGTAGGAGAGATACGAAATATCAGCCGGAGAGGAAACCTGCGTCTCGGTCAGAAAGAGCAAGGCCGGCTTCACCGTCTCGATTTGGTAGTGGACGGCGTTTAGGTTAGAGTGAAGTCCCCTGATGTTGCAGAAATTCACGGATAGCGTGGCAGGGGTCGCCTTGGTATTCTTGCTCAGTTTGCCCCGAGCAGTTATGTTTTTGAGCGGAATTTTGCCCCCCCCCCCCCCGAATACGCGGGGCAGCCTGAGCACTCACGCTCAGGATCGGAATAACATGGTCGTGGATGCTCAGCGAGGGATTCTCCAGGGGTACTGGTACCCTCCTGGGGTAGTCTATCGTGTAATTCCGCTACTCTACTATTGTTCATACAAACAGTACAGTAAACCATATTTAAACTTTTTTATATTTTATTTGATACGAATAATAATGCTTTGCAAAATAATATTTGACACTTAATATTCTTTACAAAACCCTGAATTTGAGCAATGGCCGAGCCGGTTTAGAGCAGTTTCTCTCTGTACATGTGTACTGTCTTACTATTAGGGTTACTTATTTTTTTAGCAGTATCTTCAACACTCATGTTCAAATGCTCTCTTAAATTTTTTTTAGTTTTCTTAGAAGGTTTACCATCATAACTCTTCTTTGAACATACTCTTTTGTTAGTTGAATTCTAAATTCACGTGACTACTTACGTCTTTTCTGTATAACCACTTTATTTGCCCTCAATATTACTATGACATTAATTCTAGCACGTTCCAGAAGACGAAAGAAGAGTGGCAATGGCCAGCTATTATTCTTTCTTGACGTCGAATACATCTTCACTTTTTATCGACATTATCGACACCACCTTTTGTTTTCTGCCGACTTCCAAAAAGGAGACGGTACTCAATTCGACTGCATGTTTTTTTATATGTGTGTTACCTCATAAATTTTTACTGGGTGAACCGATTTCGATGATTTGTTTTTTGTTTGAAATCTGGTACTTATCGTGTGGTCTCATATAAACTTGATCAAGGTCAGACTAATAGTTTTTGAGTTATTCTTAATAACTTATGTTGAAGTCGGCAGTACAAAATTTTAAAATTTAAATTATATTGTAAAGAAGTTATGATACTTGACTTGCGATTTTCACGATTCACTCTCTTCATCTTATCGTTGCCTTTGCATTGTTGTGTATATTTAAAAAAAATGCACTACCGCACATTATATAGTGTTCTCTGTCACTCTCTACTTTAAAATAAAATTATTGAAACGTTAAATCGTGTCAATCACTAGGTTTGCCACGATTTGAAATGTCAACAATATACCATTGCATTCGCAATAAAAATATCTATATTTACACATTTAAGTTTGTAGGAAAAAGAATGAGAGTAAATTGCTATATCAGTTTACCTGTTTACGCTTGATAGACTGGTATTGAGACAAATTTTATCAAGAAAAATAAATGACCGTAACGGGTAAAAAAATAATTAAATAATTTTTAATTAAAAATAGCCTTGCCAAAACATAGGCTGTCAATCACCCCGAATTATATTTATTTATATATGAATATTACATAAAAAATATTTCATCAAGGAAAAGAATGAGGGGGTACTTTTGAAGCCGGATTCTCTACGGATATAATAATATGTATTACGTGTAGAGATGGCGAGATTTGGTTGGGTGCAATACGCGTTAGAGACTATGGACTCAAATTTACTTAGTCTTTTGGAGGGATAGAGTTAGTTTTTTATAACTTGCTCTATAAAAAATTACTCTGTGTCTCCGTGCATGCGCCAGGTGCTGCCGCATACATTTTATTCGCGGTGCCTGTTCTAGTACCTAAATGCATTGCACAGGCATTCTCTAAATTCTAAAAAGTAAAAGTTAGAAGAAGTCCGTCACGCTACTACAGTGCGTGTTCATAGATATCACACGTTTTATGAAGATATTTTCCTTTACAGCAAAGCACACGTTTAATTTAGTTAACTGAACTTAAAAAAACTCAAATTGTTAGTATGTTATCACATATACTCACATAGCAAGCCCTAAACTGTACCAAAATACCATTAGTACCGACACAACTCATCATATAAGAACGACGGCTCCGTGGCGCAGTGGCTTAGCAATGAGTTGCTGCGTTGGGGGCCGCGGGTTCGAATCCCGCACGGAACAAGTATTTGTATGGCCTGCAAATAATTTTTCCGGGTTTGTGGGCAAATGTTTGTCCTTGTGCAATTTGTGTTTGTAAACTACCTCCACGATACAGGAGAAAATCCTAGTGTGGGGGTAACGTTTATAAAATAATATCAGAAAGGTGAAAGGTCAGCACGTCGATTCGACAGCTGATAGGGAAGAAAGGTTCTAGAGTGTGATCCCTATGCCAGCAAGCGGAGGGTAGGATGCAGAATAACTCTTAAATAGCTGTAGTGACGATCTAGTAATAAGATACGTGATTGTGATCGTCGTGATATGTGGCATAATTTGGGGAAGGCCTATGTTAAGCGGTTGATTTGTGGGGGACTGTGATGAATATGATGATGATGATGATGTAGTTTTTTATTTTTCCGTTCATTTCGTTTTAGATGTTTCAATAAAGGCACCAAAAGCGATTGAGACTGGAAGAGCTAAAAACAAGAATATGGCGCCAATACTTGCTGCTGCTGCAATGAAGTTTGGTCTCCTTGGGGCTTTGACGTTTAAAGGCCTGTACTTGATAGTTGGGAAGGCACTTCTGATCTCCAAAATAGCTCTACTCTTGGCTACAATCATCGGACTCAAGAAGTTAACATCTCCTCAGGTGACCGACTAGAAATTGTTGCATGAATATCTGTTTGTGAATCATTATTTATTAAAACTGATGAACAATAAAAATTATGCAATTGTTTTATTGTGTTGATAGAATATGATTTATATGTCTGTATAATTGCAAATTTAATTCGCAGGTAAATTCTTTACGTGAAATTTTATTTTTCATCAGTATTTGCATGAATGGATGCATGTGCATGAATAAATTTTTAAAACGAATGCTTGTTTTTTCTTGACTTCTCCTCACACACAATACAGGTACAGCGAATTAGTCTACTTTTATTTTTTTATTTTAATTTTCTACTATGACACAATAGCGTAATTATTTTAATTCAATTTTTTTTTATAAAAAAATAAACTATGGAGGGAATATTAAGAGTATTTTTTTCTTGATTTAAATATTTATAAAAGTCATTATTTTGTTAATAATAATTTTGCATCAATAATTATTTCCACCTATTTATATATTTATAACACATACCTCTACATTAACTTTTTAAAGTTTTAGTCACGGAAAGAATAAATCACTTTGTATACATAGTTCATTTAAAAAATCACGATAGGCAAAAATCTATTGACAAATAGGTAGATAATTTAATTTCACACAAAATATTTCTAGAAACACAGTTTACAAATTTATGGATTCATCAATAACAGGCAGCGAGTGTTTTTTCGTGTTTATGATTTGTTTCTATTTTCGAACATTTTGTACGTACATGAATTTGTTTAAAAACTTTTTAAAATAATGATTTCTATTTATGGTATTTTATTGATAAACAATGAATATTACAAACTGGTAATTCATTATATTGATTTCGTTACGTAGGGTGTCAACTATCTCTACTGTCGCATGAGGTTTTCCTCCTCTTAAATTTCTTTTTCTTACGTGACGAATGCTGCTACATTTTAAGATGCAAGTGTTTTATCTGTTTTGCATCTTTGATTGGTTGTTCAAACTTTTTATATTTCTATGGTATATTGAAAAAATTATGGAAAATAACAGATATTTGTGAAGTATATCTAAGGGATTAACCTGCTCATTCCAGACTGGCGTAGCTGCGCCCGCGACCACTATTGACAGCCACTAGAGTGGGGATTTAGAAACCTTTTAAAATAAAGAGTTGACCATTAAAAGGAATTAAATGTGCGAACACTTTCCAGGCTATTAAAAAAAAAAAAAATGACGAAAAATTTAGGCGAATGAAACCTGATTGGAGATTTTTAGCGAGAGGTTAAGATCTAACCTCAACTTCTAATAGATCACGATCACTATTATTAAGTTGACATTAAACTGATTAGAAAAAACTAAATCGCACTTTAACGCTGTTTATTAAGGTGAAAGAGTTTTTAGTCAACTTCAATATTCGAGAAAAATATATTTTAAGGTAACTCCGGTAATGATGTACATAACACGGTTATCTATTTATTTATAACTTAGTTTGTAAGCCTTAATAACTTGTACAACGTAAGCTATTACGCATTTAACAAATTGCTAAGCATTTGAAGCATAATTTATAATGTTTAATTTATTGCATTAACTGTACTAATTTATTGCATAAACTGTATTGTGAATTAAACGAACTATTCACTAACAAGATGTATTTTGTCCAATCCTTACCCGCTACTTCATCGTCTGTTTTTACTAAAAATAAAATAATAAACCATAGCTTGCTATAATAATAAGCACCTTTATAAGAGTTATTTAATACATTTTTTCTTATAGTCTTAACAAAAAAAAAAAAGTTATGATTGTCTCGATTGATATAATAATTTAAAATTTAAAATTTTGTACAGCCGACTTCAATATAAGTTATTTAAGAATAACTTAAAAACTATTGGTCTGACCTTGAATAAATTCATATGGGACCACACGAGAAGTACCAGCTTTCAAATAAAAAAAGAATCATCGAAATCGGTTCACCCAGAAAAAAGTTCTGAGGTAACACACAAAAAAAAAACGAAAAAAAAAAAACATACAGTCGAATTGAGTACCGGCTCCTTTTTGGAAGTCGGCAGAAAACAAAACACGACACAAAACTTCTAAAATATCGAAAACATAAATTCCACTGATAATAATATTATAACATTGTTATAAAATGCAAGTAGATTTTAAGTGGTCTGCAAGAAATAATTTTCTCTAACGAATAGTGAAGTCTGTTTACCCAATCAAGATAATGTTTTTTGTAAATAGAATAAGGGTGACAAACGAGCACACAGTCCACCTGATGGTAAGTGTAAGGTTTTGTGTAACATCAAGAGAACCGCCTGGCAGGGTCGCCATGTAATGTCAGAAAGGTGTTGAATGAATAGAAGACGTGATTCCCAGTTCAAGAGCTTAATTATACTGATCAATAAACTTAAAAATACGTGTATTTCTTATACTACTAGTAGGGTGGAGGCACATACACTACACCTCCCCCGATATTTGAGAAAAAAAAAAGAAATATTCTCTATTTACTTTTTTTACATATTACCTACTTTCTTGACAGATATAATAAAAAAATGATTTATGATTTACATTGTGAATTGAAATATTTAATTATAATATTATATGAACCCTGAATCTTATTACATAATAATAAATTTAATATTGAAGATTAAAATATAATACAATGTTACTTAGCCATTAAATTTATATAATACGAGTACCTAAATTGAGTAAAATAAAGCAGTTAAACAAAATATAAAATTAATTTCATTAAAAAAAAGATTATAATCTCATGATCATAATCAGATCAGGTTATACATAATATTATCGAGTCAATCCAGGATACGCATGCGATTTTATTTCGTACGTCATTAAACCTGTCGTTTTTTGGTACTAACCAACGTTACAACAACATGTTAACATGATCAAGTAGATGTATAGGTGGGCAACAATAATAATGCGTTTTGCAATTAACTTGACATCATATTATATGTACTTTTTATCCTTTCTAAAACCCTGATGTCTACGAAAAGTTCTCATTGACATTTTAGCATTTCCATCATACTCGTTTGCGCACCCGACTATTACTGAAATAGCTAATTATCTACCAGATCTTGTGCTTTACCTATTAACATTATTACCAACATTTTTTCATTGCTGAAATAAGTTAATATTTCAATTTACTCTAACCAATGTGTATAAAACACTCACTGAATTTATTTTTATCACTTAAATTTTTCAATAAATTATACAATCTGTTACGGCCTACGGCTGCTCCCTTAAAGGATCCAATCGTCTGGGGCCCATGAGCAGAAGACTTCCCGAGCAGACGTAGGTCGAGCCTTAATGTGGCCACGTGGAATCTCTCTAATTACACTAAATATATGGGGGAGCGTTCTATACTACGGCCAGTCAACCGGCAGAGGAATTAGGCGAAGCTTACTTACCTATATCCAAGGCGACTGGTCCCTCCGGAGTCGGTCAGGTCACATGTGGTTGTGTAGTGAAAGGGAAATAAGTGATGTGATGTGTATCTGGGTGTGACTGATGGTGATTGAACCTAGACCTTGGCCGTCGGCAGCAGCCCGGGCGTCGCGACACCGCTCCAACTTGAGGGGGCCCTCCGAGGCGTTGTCCACATTCATTTTCCTCGTTCTTCACGATGACAGTCAATTAACTCTATCGTATGATTTACTAACTTACAGAAGCCACTAACTATCACCTAATTATTCCTAGTTCCCTAACAGAATGACAGAGTGCCAATCGTGAGCACTGCCTAAGGACGACTGACTGCCCTTGGGCGTTTTTCGCACGACCGAAAGTCAAACCGGTATGAATGCACCGCGCCGAGCGCCCTCTCGCGTCAATCCTTGAAAGTGTTTGGCGCGAACATAATCCTTGCCATTCAACACAAAACTTTAAGTATCTTAACCCGTCTTATCACATTAGTGAAATAAAAAAAATATTGCTAAGGAATTATTACAAGTGTGTGAAATAGGTTTTATTATGATCTACCTAGATGGTTATATAATATTAAAATATTCGAATCAAAATGCGAAACTGATCTATATTTTTTAAAAGATCTCGACCGATGATACCATTTGCCATAATTGGTAACGAATTAAAAACATAAAACTTGTGCTCAATAATTGGATCGCTTGTGTTCAATTGTTGAAATACAACATACATATTTGACATAATTAGGCAATATAATAAATATATAATATTTTTTTAACTATTTTACAGGCATTACAAATTTATATCATAATATAGTCTCGTTATAATATTTAGGTACCTACAATAACAAAATTTAAATTAATTAATTGCAAACATAGTATAATGAGTTTCAAAATCGTATTAAATAAAGTAAATATTTTCATAATCCATACAACTAATTTGGCATCACTCTTTTATTTTCTCAGAAAATAATAAATTGTAATAAATAAAAGTTTATGATTTGAAAGTTCAATCAATATTATACCGAAAATAATTGATTACATTTCATATTTAGATATCCAGAACAAAGAAGTAAATGCAAAGCAACGTACCTAATCATTTTCGTTAACATAACAATAGACAGATCAAAATACACATGTCTAAGGTTGCTGTGGCCCATAGACTTCTACATCTATCTTCGTCTGCGAATTAAAATGCAGATGCGTTGTCAGCCGTGAGGACTAAGATGGAATGCCTTTTTTCCAGTAAAAACGGTCTCCGGTTCTCTACACTCACCATACGAAACACAGCAGCATTAAGCTGCTATTTTACGCTGGTATTCTATGAGAATGTGGTCCTTCCCCGGTCGAGCCGACCCATTCGTGCTACAACTATACTATTAATATAGCTGCAGCATGGCTCTACCACGTATAAATAATGTATTTCACGTCAGATAACATGAGCAAGCCCACCGTGAAGTGGCGGTGTATCCAATACTCCATATCATCCGGTGGGTGTTGAAAGAGATGACAGAGAGAAACAGACCAAGAGATGGGCATCGTTTTCTAATAACAGCTAAAAAAAAACTGTAGCCTGGCTATCGCGGCAACTGGAAAATATATCCCCTTAGGAAACAATCT